CAGCACTGCCCCCATCCACCCCCGTGCCTCCCCTTCCCCCAGCCACTGAGCCACTATTACCTGGCTTCTCCCACTTCATCCATGTTCCACAGCCTGCTCAGTCCGGGTACTGACGAGATGCCCCGCCTCCTGCAGAGCCCGCACTGTACTGAGAGCCATGCATTCCTTGTGACAGCCGCTGTTTGAGTCAGTGAGAGGCAGCCCCGGAGCCTCCGTATCCATTCAATGACAGCCCAGCCTGCACGGCATCAGAGGAGCCCGGGGACCACCAAAATGTTTTCTTGGACTGACTTATATAAGAGAATGTATGGAGTGTTGTTTTGCTTGGTTAACACCTGGTTTAAACTTTAGTTAAAAGAGAACTATGACAAGTGGCGGAACTACCACCATGCGGCCGCGGCACTGGGGGGGCCAGGATCCCCACTGCTCTCCTCCGCTTGTATGGGCTGAGGCAACGGGTATCCGGAAAAAAAATGGACGGTGGAGGAGCCGCTGCTGTCCTGAAACTGACAGGAGGACAGCGGCTCCGCTCTCCTCCCCGCCTGCCGCTCTATCATCGTGATTGAGCAGCAGGCGGGGAGGAGAGCAGAGCCGCTGTCCTCTTGTCAGTTTCAGGATGACAGCGGCTGTGTGCGTGGCCGAGCAAAGGATCGGTAAGTATCATTGATATTTACCGATCCTCCGTGTGCAGCACAAACACTGGAGTGATCGTCAGTGTTTGTAAATAACTGGGGACACATAGTACTATGTGTCCCCATTTATGAATGAACAGGAGGTGATTTACATGACTTCCTGTTCATTCATGAATTTCTCAATAGGGTGAAGCAGTCAGTACAGACGCAATTAAAAACGCTCAAAAACGTGGTGATCAGCGCATTTCTAATAAAATGGGGGCGGGGGTTTCGTTGGGGGGGCCCTTACAACATTTTGCTATGGGGCCCAGGGATTTCTAGTTATGCCCCTGACTATGGCCCAACTTTTTTGGCCTTAGTTCTCTTTTTGGTCACAAGAGGACATATACTCAGCATATGGCGAGCTACTGCCCACTATATGCTGACAACGCAGAGCCACGCTGCAGCCGGGACAGGTCCCAACAATACAGTCGAGATCCACCATGCCACCTGATTGACAAGCTGGCTCTGCCTCACTAGAGCTAGAGCCAGCTGTGCCCGGCCCCTCCCCTGTCTAATCCTCCAGTCAAATACTGCAAACCGGGAACAAATAAATCTAGTTGTATCTAAGATTTAATAACGAGGTGTAAAGTCAGTGTGTTTTGCAAACATATAACGCACAATATCTCCAAAAACAAAGCGGCACAAACGTTTATTTTTGCGGCACAAATCAGCACAAACGCGGCACAAACGAATGGCGTCATTGTTTTTAAAATTCAGCAACAAGGGGTGCAAAGTGGGCGGGGTTTCAGCAACTATAACGCACAATATCTCCGAAACCAAAGCGGCACAAACGTTTATTTTTGCGGCACAAACCAGCAAAAATGCAGCACAAATGAATGGCGTCTTTGTTTTTAAAATTCAGCAACAAGGGGTGCAAGGTGGGCGGGGTTACAGCAACTATAACGCACAATATCCCTGAAACCAAAGCGGCACAAACTTTATTTTTGCGGCACAAACTAGCACAAACGCGGCACAAACGAATGGCGTCTTTGTTTTTAAAATTCAGCAACATGGGGTGCAAAGTGGGCGGGGCTTGCATTAAATTGAATGTTTAATATCTCAGAAACCGAACCGGCACAAACGCTGGTTTTTGCGGCACAAACCAGCACAAACGCGGCACAAACGAATGGTATATTTTTATTCAGGTTTTACAAACATGGGGTGCCAACTTCACACAGCGAATGAATGATGGAGGAAAATAAAATTCTAACAGATTTCACCATCCGTGCTAAACAGCATAAAAAAATATTTTGCGCTGAGACTATAGTGCCGCAGTCAGAATACCTAAATAGTACCTGCAGCTGATTGGCTGCAGTCACTGTTGATCTGAGAATTTTACACCGGGCTCATTTGATTTTGCTGAGTGATATATTCTAGGCTGAAGGCTGCAATCAGGGTCACCCACCCAGTCCATTTTTGGCCAGTTCCATCTGATGGAAAAAAAATTGAATTATACAGACAATTCTATTGCTTCCTCCTCACACGAGAGGTTATTTGGGATGAGGGACAGACCAGCAAGACCCAAGAACTACATTCTGGAAGGACATTCTGGAAGGATGCTCCACAATGGTTGGAAGGACCAGGTATTTACAGAGGGCACAACAGAGCGGAGGAGCGTGCAAAGGCTACTGTTTCTAACAAGGAGAACTTTGTGCTTTTCCTCAAATGGACCAGAACAGCATGGCGTTTTAGGTACCATTGGGGTCTAGGGTAGCAGTTAAAACGGAAAATTGTATACTTACCTATCAGTAATTTTCCTTTCCTGATGCCAATACATGGCAGCATACAATGGGTATGACTCAGCCCCCAGCCCATTGTATGCTGCCATGTATTGGTGTCAGGAAAACGGAAAATTGTATACTTACCTATCTGTAATTTTCCTTTCCTGACGCCAATACGTGGCAGCATACAATGGGCTGGGGCGGAGTCATACCCATTTTATGCTGCCATGTATTGGTGTCAGGAAAGATATGCTCACCTAATCCTTGGCCCTGCAACAGCACACACACACACGTCAATGGACCTGCATTAGACTTGATGAAGATGGCAATCCTTAGACTGCAGGAGCCTAGGAGAGAAGGAGCTGCAGGAACTGGTCTAGCAGTCAGGCGAAAGCGACCATCAGGTGATTATGTTCTGTTATCTTGAACCCCTACACCAAAATTAACACTTCACTTAACCCTACCGGGTGGCCCCCCCGCCGAGACGTCACTGCGCATCCAATGGTGTCACCCGGGTGCGGGCCACACCCCCCGCACCTCCCTCGTGATGCCACTGGCCTCACTACAGGGGTTAGTATTTGAATTCCTGTAGTTCTAAGGTGACTACAGACATTCAAGTATCTTTGCACTATACAGCCTTTTACCTTTGGCTTAGGGAACGTTTGTGGGTCTGTAGTCCGCAGTAGTCAGTTTATTGCGGTTTTTTTGTCAAATAAGTTTTTATTACTTTGCATTTGTAAAAGAATAAAACAAACAGACATTTACAGACATGACTTGCAACACAACAGTCAGTGCCATTTCTGGAGTTACACAAGTATATGCATTTGGCACACGGGCATAAATGTAAGCAGCATGTCCGCGCTGAAACAATCCTAGTCTAGTAGAACAATACGGGGTGTACTGGGCTACTCAGCAACAACAGTCATATAAACAACATAGTCAGTCGCACCTCTCTATATGCTAGCGTTGGTGTACAACAGTTCTTCAATATCACCGTCTCATAGAAGGCCTTGCTAATATTTAGAAAGTCACGTGTCTGATAATATGAGCATCTGGGCCCATTCTTCAGTAGGGCCAGTAGTGGCACAAGAAATTGTAAGCTAGTAGGTTCCCCATCCGGGTACCACCTAGAGGCCATACTTCGTGCTGGCATGGGTGCGGGCCAGATGTAGGTACCTGACAAGACTAAGACACAACACAACAGGGGGGGAGGGCGGTAGAGGGAGATATGAGGGGGCAGGTAAGTAGAGTAGAAGAGGGGAAAGAAGAGTGAGGTAGTGTTCGGATTGCTCGGAGGCATATAACATCCCGGAGGCTCCTAAAGGCAAGTTACATAGAACAGAGTCGGCGTAAGGCAGAGGAGGGGAAGTACTTGTCGATCCAGGGAGACCAGGTAGCTTCATATTTGTTCATATGATTATTAAGCTGTGCTGTCCTTTTCTCATGCGCCATAACCAAATTGACGTGGTTGACTACACTGTGGATACTAGGGATGTGGTAAGCCAATTTTTTGCGATTGCTCTCTTAGCGGAAGTACACACGTGCATGGAGAGGTTAAATTGTTTGCGGCGAAGTCCTTCAGGTTTACAATTAAGCAATGCGAAAAACGGACTTTTGGTCAGGGGTTCCGAGAACAGTGATGACAGGAGGGCGAACACTTCATCCCAGAAGGCCGAGGCATGTGGACAGCTCCACCAGATGTGGAAAAAGGTGCCTAGTTCTGGGCATCCCCGAAAACAGTTGGGGGAGCAACGAGGGTTATAGATAGCCACTCTGGCAGGTACCCTGTACCAACGCAAGAGGACCTTGTAGTTAATTTCCAACATGCTTGCACATCGCGAGCTAGATTTCGTATTTGCCCAGGATTGTTCCCAGCCGTCTTCATCTATTGGGGACTCTAGATCCCCTTCCCATTGAGGGACATATGAAGGTGTATCTGTGGGGGTAATCAGAGCAGTGTAGAGGAGTGAGATGAGTCCTGGAGTGTGGGGGTTGGTGCGGCAAACTCTCTCAAATGGAGAGGTTGATGTGGGACTGGATTGTTGCGGGGTGTACGTGGATAGAAAATGTTTGACCTGGAGGTATCTGAAGATCTCCTTCCCTGGGAGTTGGTAATGCTCTTGTAGATATGGGAAGGATTTAATTCCCGAGGTGGTCCTCAGTTGCCAGAAGGTGCTAAGATTACGATCAGAACATGCGGAAAACCGTGCTGGGTGCTGCAGAGCTGGCGCAAAGAGGGGGTTCGCCATAAAGGACATGAGGGGTAAACTGGGGGAAAGAAGGCCATAGGTAGTTTTGGCAGAGTCCCAAAGTCGGAGTGAGTGGGAAGTGATCGGGTTGGTTATCTTAGGTCTCTGTTTCGGGGTTAACCAGAGGAGGTTGGCCGCTGACGTGGGACGTACCAATGCAGATTCCAAAGTCACCCAGGCCGGAGTCTCGAAATCCGAGTGGTACTTTGCAATTTGACCTATTTGTGCTGCCAGGTAATACTTGGCTAGGTGAGGAACTGCCAATCCCCCCTTGCATTTCGGTAGGTGGAGTGTGCATCTAGGTACCCTGGGCTTCTTGTCCCCCCATATAAAAGCAAAGATTTGTGTCTGCAGTTTTCTGAGGATTAGACTAGGGATCGCAACTGGGAGGACTCTAAATAAGTAGAGAATTTTGGGCAGAAGTGTCATTTTGACCACAGCTATCCTGCCTAGCCAGGAGAGTTGGTATCGGGACCAAGTCTGCAGCATTTGTGTCAGTTTGGTCACCATCTCAGGGTAGTTGGAGTTGTATAGCGTATGGTAAGTACTCGTCAGTTTGATTCCCAAGTAAGGGAGGTGGTCAATGTTCCAGGAGTAGGGGTAGTTGCTGCTCAGGGATTCCACTAGTGTTGGGGGTAAAGA